GTTGTGTGGAGTAACTAACTGGCGGACTGAGAGCCTGGCTGCAATGTCTACTTTCTGACTTAGCTTCGAGGGCAATCTCAATCCACGGGATCCAAACCAGGATTTTGGTTGTAAATTATCAAGAACCCTGTCAACGTGAGTTTACTGAAGTGGTCAGATCCCACTAGGACACGCTTTACAGATTATGTTTTGTATTTGGAATCAAAGTGCACTCAGTAGAGTCCATAATCTCAATCTAGCGTAAACAATTATTAGCAATTAGTTATGTAATGATTAGATGTTAATAGTAATATGTAAATATTACTAACAATTTTGTTTGGATCCTAAGGCTCTTTTTCAGCGGACGCTGAAACATTTTCCTTGTTATTTCCGGTTAAACAATGTTGGAATTATCCACATGGCTTCTCCAACAAAACTCCCGTCCGACCTGCAAAATGATTGTTTACCCCTTTCGAAGGCTGCCCCCTTCCCCCTGGAATGCTGGCCGCCCATGACTGACTGACTGACTGCACATAACTGAATACTCCCCTTCACCCTTGTCCCCTTCTTTCGATTTTCACATTTTGACACTGTCAGATTGTACATTGTCACCTCTGCCACAGAGATCACCGCGAAGTGACATGCCAGCTGTCTGTTCCCCCCTTTTGACTCAGCTGCCGCGGCTACCCCGAGAACCACTCCTCTAGCCACCCCCCACCCGTTCGCGCTGGTTTTTTACACCAATCCTGATGCTACGTGAATCATATAAAAGCGGAGCCCCCCTCTCTCCCACTAACACACACAAAGTTTCTCAAGATTAGTTTCCTCCTGCGTGGCGTTATTGTTGAATTTGTGCCGTTCCCTTTAATAGACTCTCTTCGACCTTGACTTGATGTGTCCATTGTTGAGCTTTCTACGCAATTCATCCTTTACTATTTTTTCTTAATAGTACCGTACCATCTTGATAGTTGTTATCACCGGTTTTGGCGTACGCGTGGCTGTTGGATACAGCCGGAGAAGTCAAGAGACGAAACAATCCTATTATGCTTAATCAAATGGCAACAAAATTCATGTCCATCGTGCAGAGTGGCGGCCACCGACCAGACGCTTATACTTGAACTGCCAGCGGATACTTAAAACGGCAAAGGCTATAGTCATTTGATATAGAACACGACAAAGGCTGAGTCGCTCCAATATATTATATCACATTTGTTTTAGTCATTTGTTTTAGTCATTTGATATAGAACACGACAAAGGCTGAGTCGCTCCAATATATTATATCACATTTGTTT